AAGCTCTGAAATGAGGTGAAGCTCTGCTGATTTCTGTCATCCAATCAAGTGCAAGCAGAATTGCTGATTTTTATTTTCCTTGCATGCCCCCCTCAGATCTAAAGCACTTGCACAGCACTTGGAGTGCACTTGCAGCACACAACCTGCTTGACTTTAGTAAATCAACCACATTGTGTTGTATTGTATTGTATTGTAATATATTCTTTCGTTTCTGATCATGTTTGTGGTCTCGCTCTTCAGATTGTTTTTCTGATGATTACTGTTAAACTTAATTCCTACGATCTGGTTACATACGAAAAAAAAGAAAATTTGTGTTTGTCCCTTTGAATAGTGGCAAAAGCTGTGTAGTAACGATCAGATTATCGTACAATCGCTTTGAAAGCAGTATTTTTCCTCCGAATTTTCTGATATCATGTACTAGCCTTTAGAGGCAGAAATTTCAATAGATAGTGCATGATGACTTTTTACCACTGTTAATTTCTCAGCAATTACAGTATGAATGTTAAAGCAGTTTCTACATTTCCTATGTTGTTTCACTCTGTTCTACATTACTGGTCCTTGAGAGATATACAATATATGCTTTATACTGTGTATATACAAGACACAGGCTCTCTTAAAAATTTATCCTAAAACTTTGACTTTTTTTTTTTTGACCTACAAAAAGTCTAAGTTCTTGGACTCCCAGACAATGTTTGTCTGTTATCTGTGACTTCATACAGTGTAACCCCTGATTTCTGCTGATACTGCAGTTGCAACACTGACACCTAGAGGGCAGAAAGAAACAGGTTCTGCACTTCATCCAACATCTTCTTTTACGGATAGGCCCCATACTTCTTCTGAGTTTATGTAATTAAAATATTGCAAGATTTTAATACAACAGATCAATATCAGCACGTCAACAGAAGCACTGTATACAGTGGATTTATAATTTCTCTTGAATTTTTAGTTGTCACCGCAACAACAGTATAGAGGAAATATCCCAAAGGGGTTGTTCTGGAGACAGGTAATACAGGATTTATCTAATTTGGAGAAATTTCTCTTTCATCTCCTGTTATCAGTATTAAAGGAAGTAAAGTAAAAGAACATCTCTCCAAACGAATGGCAAAAAAAAAAAAAAAGCTGCTGTAACCATTTCCTACTCTATTCAAAAGGAAAAATCACTTTAAATACAGAATATTATTTTAAAATTTTAAATAACAAAGATGTCTCAAATGCATGCAGATATTTGTAAAAGATTGGTTAGGTGTGGACAATATCCCTGGAAATGTACCAGAGAAAATGCACATGTTCATTAAAAAGAGGCATGAATATAGTCTGGCGGATTAGGTTTATAAAAAGCTGCAGCTCTGCTGTGTGCAAAGAAAGGGGCTCCTTATTCCCATCTACCCACAGCAAGCCATCACACCGCAGGTCTTTAAAAGGAACAGAACAAGCAGAGTGTGGAAAGTTTGTTTTTAACTTGCAGCATTATGAAGTATTCTGAACATTTGCTGCATTTTGGCTGCTGTGGAACTGATAGACAAACAGCTGCTAAATTTAAAACCAAAAGGAAGCTCTTTCTTTAAGTATTTGAACAAAACTCCTTTCGATTCAAGAAGAGGAAATGCAGCGTTCATATTTGACGAATGTATTTCAAAATTCTATTGTGAATACTAACTTTAGTAACAATATTCTTACCTTAAAGTGAACCTGTAGGTTTGCCCATGTTGGTGCGAATGCATGTAGACAGGAGAGGCTGAAAAAGTCTGAAAGAGATCAGCAACACCAAGTTACCACCCTAAGTAGGTGAAAACATGAAATATTTTAACCACTTGCCCTCCAGAGGATTAACCCCCACCCCCCTTCCTGACCAGGCCATTTTTTGCGATATGGCGTTGCATTACTTTGACTGACAATTGCGCGGTCACGCTGCACCCAAATTAAATTTACATCCTTTTTTCCCACAAATAGAGCTTGCTTTTGGTGGTATTTGATCGTCTGTGCGTTTTTTTATTTTTTTTACACTATAAACAAAAAAGACCGACAATTTTGAGAAAAAAACACTCTTTTTGACCTTTTGCTATGAAACATGTCCAGTAAAAAAATGTAAAAAAAATAATTTTGTCATAAATTTAGGCCAAAATGTATTTTGCTATGTCTTTTGCTAAAAAAAAATTCCCAATACATGTAAATTAATTAGTTTACATGAAAGTTATAGCGTTTACAAATGGCGGTATATATACTGGAATTTTTATTTATTTATTTTACTAGTAAACGCGGCAATCAGCCACTTATAGCGGGCTGCGGCGGACATTCTGACACTGGGGGGGAACTGACTTGATGTCACTGACATCAACAGTAACACCAATACAATGATCAGTGGTAATATAAAGCACTGACACTGTACTAATGGCACTGGGCAGGAAGGGGTTAACCTGTGGGGCAATCAAAGGGTTAACTGTGTGCTGTTTTACTATGTGGGCTGTGTGTGCTTTACACTGCAAGCACACTGTTTTGTATAGCTCTGCTATGCAGAGCCATACAAAGCGGTGTGCAGGAGCTGACAGGGGAGAGATCTGTATTGTTTACACACAGGTCTCTCCCCTGTCGGTAATAATCGAAGATCGCCGGGTGCCGGCGGGGAACCACCGCCCAAGACCCGGTGATTGACAGCCAAGGCTGCGAATGGTGGCACAGGTAGGGCACGCGCGCGCGCCCCCTACCGGGAACTGCAGAATCACGTGTATATATGTGATTCTGCTCACCCGTGCCGCCCTGTGACCATATTTCTGCTATAGGGCGGCGTGAAATTCAAATACTTATGATGCTCAGTGTTTTAGCAAAATAGATGTCAACAAATAACAGTTTACATTTAATTGAACAATTACGTAATCATCGTTATGATCAAGCAGGGACTGGGTGTGCAAAGAAAAGTGAAAGTGCCAAACACAGAATGTATAAAGTACAAATTCAATTTTGGTCAACTCTTGCATGTTAAAAATCCAACACATGTTGGGGATTCAAATGGTCCTCGTTCATCAGGGTTTGGTACTATTGAACAAATTGTGTACTGGACTAATAACATTGGAAGGGATCCTGAGGGGTAATTATTATGATCTCTCCAGATGCTGCATAAGGTTTAATTGCCATCATACCTCCATACTTCTTTACTTTACACATTGCCTTCTGTTATACCTTCTGCACTTCTCTCTTGCACATACTGTCTGCTATCATACCCTGTGCACTTCTCGCCTGAGACATCATAAAATCCTACTCACTTCTCTTAATGATACCCTGCACAGTCTTTGCTGCATATACTGCCTGCCTGTTATGCTTTGCACTCTGCTTCAGCACATCATGCCATCTATCATACCCAGGGGCGGACTGACCATTTGGAAACTCGGGCACTGCCCAAGGGCCCGGGGTCAGTAGGGGGCACCATGAGATGCCCCTGGTACCTTTTTCATAGGCTTTTTTGAGTTTGGGCAAGGACACAGGGGCCCCATGATCCCCTATTGCCTGGAGGGCCCCATGATTTGTCAGTCCGCCCCTGATCATACCCTCTCCTGTACATACTGACCATCATAATACCCTACACATTTTTCTCCTGAACATATCGCCCATAATTATACCCTACACACTTCTCGCTGGACATACTGCCTGCCGTCATACCCTCCACATGTCTGTCCTGAATATACTGCACACCATCATACCATTTGCAGTCTTCTTCTGGGTATACTGCCACTATCATACCCTCTCCCCACTCTTCTCCTGTATATACAGTCCACCATTATACCCTCCACTATTCTCTTTTGCACATAGCGCCCCCCAACATACCCTTCACAATTCTCTACTCTAATGCCTGTCTTGAAAAACACTGCATGTACCACTTCAAAGAGCTTTCATTGGGTCAGGAATTCATTCATCAAGCTCAGAGTTCACTGGATACAAAATCTGCAAAAAAATTGACTTAGCCAAAGAGCCCCTTTGGGTCCCCTGTGGAGGCTCACTCAATTATCTCATTTAACTTGCATTATATAACTTAGCATGTGTAATGTCCACATTGCTGCTATTCAGTGACATCACTACTTGTGGGACCAGAATTCCCTGTTATGGGTTGACGAGTGTAATTACATCAGAGTTCTAATCTCTGTGACCTGTAGCCATAAGAAAATGTACATTGCGCTTCCTGCAGAAAATGCCCCCTAACCTTTTCAACTGTAATTCACCTTAACAAAGTCATATGATATTAACTAGGCAAACAAAACATTTCCCGTATGTTGAGTATGTTTGTGAGCAGAAAATCTTTTCTGACTGTCACAGGGCTCTATTTCATGTTCAAGGGGTTAGATTTAGGTGGCTATAGACTTCAGGGGGCAAATTCACAAACACATCTAATATGTTTAAACACTGTTTTTCAAAAATTGAGCTATGTGGAGATCCAAATATTCACTTATTTTAATTAGTATATAGCATTATACACAATTTTATATCATTGTTTTTTTCGTAACTCTTGTGTGGTCTGCTGCGTTGGACTCCAACCTCTTGTTACATGACTCTGTGCCACTCTGCTGTCTGTAAGTAATTTCCGACAGATATTACTGGGAAAACTGACCCTGCACCTAGACTTGTGTAGCTCATTGAGATGTTGTTACTTGCAGTACATTGAAATGGACATTAGATGGCGGTGGTCTGCCATTCAGGGTCACTTACATGCACAGAACAGCCCTCTGGACTGACATGCTGTATAGCAGGATTTAGCTGGTGAGCAGGGCTGTCAGGGACTACATTTCCCAAGAGAGGTAGCGTGTGGATGGGGGCATATAAATATATAAAAACCCAAGAGATTGGCAAGAAGAGTGCAGGGAGAGTCTGAAAGAGAAGGAGGTGTGCTGACTGCTGAAGTGCTGAACTAGGCCACGGAACCAGTGTTGGAGAGAGAGAAAAAGAAGAAAGAGATTACTAACCAGTGGTGTATTTAGGTTTTGTGCTGCCCTAGGCAACACAAAAATCAGACGCTCTCCCCAGTGGAGAGAGCCTGACACCGACCAACACCAGCCCCCCCACCCCAACCCCACCTGAGAGAGCCTTCCACTAACACCCACCACCGCCCCCTTCCCCCAGCAACAGAGAGAAAGACACTCACCTTCACAGCTCCAGACACCCCCGGGAACGACAATCAGGCTCTGCATACACCATCAATCAGCCCGCAGCCTCTCTCGGATCCCACCCGGTCCCCATGCAGCATATGCCCTTTCTTCCAGGGGGCAGTGCTGCCCCCCTAAAAAAATGCCACCCTAGGCAAATGCCTTGTTTGCCTTGTGGTAAATATGCCCCTGCTACCTGGTCTGCCACACTGCCCAGGAGGCAAATCTGACAGCAGAACAGACAGGACACCGAGTCTGAGCTGGACAGTCCTTGGACTGACCCTGTTTTCAGAGAAAGATAGACTGCAACAATCTGCCGGACTACTTAATTGGGTGAGAAAAACCCATGCACTCACTAGTCATACAATACTGACGGTTTGCCACATCAGCTATCCACCTACACATAGTTGTAAACATTACATGTAGTTGCAGCAGTTTGCAGCCTAGTTCTCGCAACCTCCATCGTTGAGATACATCTACATTGCAGTTCTGTATACAAGCTGATCGCAGGAGAAACAGTTGCAGGCCGGGATACAGCAGTGTCCACTGAAACCACAAGTTTTCTCCTTCTCAACATAGCAGGATTCCCATTATTGTTAATATTTTTTCCTTTGATGTACAAAGAGAGCTGCCTTTGCCTATAGACGTTCATACCAATTGTTGCTATTCATCACTTCAAACCTGCACCATGTTTAGTGCTTTAAAGGAGACCCTGCCTTAATTCACTACCACCAAAAGGAAAAGTGTTAATGCTCCCCTTGTTCCTTCACTATCTCTGTGTCACCATCCCAAGGAACTAAATTGCACACCTCAACTCAACTTCACTCCAATTGGGCCCCAACAAGCGTGCAGAAGACATTATAGTGCTTTTAAAGGGACAGTGGTCAATTTCATATGAGAATTCTCGTTTCTTCACATCTAGTTCTTGTCATCTAAATCTGAGAACCCACAGTGAGCTTACCCGTTCTTGATAGTTGTTTCTCTGCTCACTGGGGATTCAGCAGTCCCCTCAGATTGAAGGCAGTGGATTACTTCTGAAAGCAGGTCTACTGACAGTTGTTGTTTTATGGTGAATGTCGTTACTCTTGCTCACAATTACCAAGATTGATTATATTTGCTGCATATATCAGTGTCATTTTGTTCTTTCTTACCAAGTTACCTTTAATTCCAACATACACTTTGCATTGGTTTACATTAACTTGTGCGTGAGTCCATTTTACACTTGTGATTTACTTTGGTCACAGGAGCATGGTGGTGTCAGCAGAGGTTCGGTTTGCTACAAGAGGTTCAGATTGGCAGGGAACCCGAAACAAATGACTAAGCAACCCTTAAGGGGGTAGAGTTACACTTGTCTAATCAAAAGATCTACATCCAGGGGTGGACTGACCATCTGGAAACTTCGGGCACTGCCCAAGGGCCTGGGGTCAGTGGCCCCATGAGAACTGGGCATAGCTGCCCAAGGGCCTGCCCCTGATCCCCTATTGCCCAATCCGGCCCCTTGTCAGTCTGCCCCTGTCTACATCACTGGATCAGCAGAAGCAAGGAGACTTTAAAGTGCACCCATTACTAAAATGGGACCAAACAATCTTATCCATAACAGCTAAGGAAGCTGCCATCTTAGCCTCTGTATGATCTGTAGTTTCCATGGTGCTGCACTTGTGATCAAATATGACATTTGATGGCATGACAGTTTGGTTTAGAGCACAAGTAGCTCTGAGAGCTATAATTCACTGCATGCCTTCGATGTAACTGTTTTGGGAACCAGTTAAATTGATGGGTTTAGCTCCACTTAAAAGTGGAACTAAACATAAAAATAAAATGATTGCGAGCAGGCAGCTCTTTATTGCAGAAGACACATGCTATGTCTCTGCTGCAATAAAACACACTTACCTACCTGCTTGCAGTCTCTACTGAATGTATAATGAGCTGCGCATGTCGGCTGAGTCAAATACATGTGTGTATTAGTGTGATCACAATATTCCCTGCCAGCCAATCAAGAGGCTGAAAAGCTGGAAGTAGTCAGGGGAGAAGATGACAGTGGCCAGCGAGGAATGTAATCTTTGCTGGAAGGTGTAGGTGAGTATTTTGTGGAGTTTCCTTCCACTTTAAAGCCCAACTGAACTTACAGTTTAAATTGAAGAAATAAATTCCAGGTGCATCAAACAAAAGCCCCCTGCCAGCTGCTGCTGTGTTGAAGCAGTGGTCTCTCTGCAGATGTCCAACATGCCACCTGCTAAAATAGACCTAGAGCCTCCAATCGGCAGGAAGTATGACCTTTGCACTGAACCTCTGCTGAGAGACCACTGCTTCCACACAAATTACTTCCCTGCAGCATGCTGGGCTGGCTGGGACAGGCTTTTCTACGCAGGCTGTGGCTGCTTTATAAAGAAAAGTAACTGGAAGTTTTCGAACACCTTTAGTTTTGATGCATCTAAAATTTCTTGACAGTTTAATTGGGCTTAAAAAAAAATAGAAGTTTAGCATATACAGTCATGGCCGAAATTGTTGGCACCCTTGATATTTTTCCTGAAAATCAAGTATTTCACACAAAAAAGGTATTGCATTAACACATGTTTTGCTATACACATGTTTATTCCCTTTGTATGTATTGGAACAAATATAAAACAGAGGCAGAAAAGCAAATATGACATAATGTCACACAAAACCCCAAAAATGGGCTGGACAAAAGTATTGGCACCCTTAACTTAATATTTGGTTGCACACCCTTTGGAAAACATAACTGAAATCAGTCGCTTCCTATAACCATCAATAAGCTTCTGACACCTCTCACCCGGAATTTTGGACCACTCTTCCTTTGCAAACAGCTCCAGGTCTCTCTTATTGGAAGGACACCTTTTCCCAACAGCAATTTTAAGATCTCTCCACAGGTGTTCAATGGGATTTAGATCTGGGCTCATTGCTGGCCACTTCAGAACTCTCCAGCGCTTCTTTGCCATCCATTTCTGAGTGCTTTTTTGACGTATGTTTGGGGTCATTGTCCTGCTGGAAGACCCAGGATCTTGGACGCAAACCCAGCTTTCTGACACTGGGCCCTACAGTGCGACCCAAAATCCTTTGGTAATCCTCAGATTTCATGATGCCTTGCACACAGTCAAGGCACCCAGTGCCAGAGGCAGCAAAACAACCCCAAAACATCATTGAACCTCCACCATATTTTACCGTAGGTACTGTGTTTTGTTCTTTGTAGGCCTCATTCCGTTTTCGGTAAACAGTAGAATGATGTGCTTTACCGAAAAGCTCTATCTTGGTCTCATCTGTCCACAAGACGTTTTCCCAGAAGGCTTTTTGGCTTACTCAAGTACATTTTGGCAAACTGTAGTCTTGCTTTTTTATGTCTCTGTGTCAGCAGTGGGGTCCTCCTGGGTCTCCTGCCATAGCGTTTCATTTCATTTAAATGTCGACGACGGATAGTTCGCGCTGACACTGATGCTCCCTGAGCCTGCAGGACAGCTTGAATGTCTTTGGAACATGTTTGGGGCTGCTTATCCACCATCCGGACTATTCTGCGTTGCAATCTTTCATCAATTTTCCTCATCCGTCCACGACCAGGGAGATTAGCTACAGTGCCATGGGTTGCAAACTTCTTGATAATGTTGCGCACTGTGGACAAAGGCAAATCTAGTTCTCTGGAGATGGACTTGTAACCTTGAGATTGTTGATATTTTTGCCACAATTTTGGTTCTCAGGTCCTCAGACAGTTCTCGTCTCCTCTTTCTGTTGTCCATGCTTAGTGTGGCACAGACAGACACACAATGCAAAGGTTAAGTGAACGTCTCTCCTTTTTATCTGCTTCAGGTGTGATTTCTATATTGCCCACACCTGTTACTTGCCCCAGGTGAGTTTACAGGAGCATCACATGCTTGTAACATTCTTATTTATCCGCAGATTGTGAAAGGGTGCCAATACTTTTGTCCAGCCCATTTTTGGAGTTTGTGTGACATTATGTCGAATTTGCTTTCTTTCCTCCCTTTTTTTTGTTTTGTCCCAATACTGGCTGGGAATAAACATGTGCTTTATAGCAAAACATGTGTTAATGCAATACGTTTCGTGAGAAATACATGATTTCCTGGAGAAATTTCAAGGGTGCCAACAATTTCGGCCATGACTGTAGGAGTTCATGCACATATCTGGAGTCATGTTCAAGTGTACACTGAGACCCTTCCATTCCAATCGGCAAGTTTTAACATTTCATGGAAGTATTAGTGTCATAAGTAAGCTAGCCCCCTATCACCTCTTGCTCTTTCCTACAGTGAAGGAAATAAGTATTTGATCCCCTGCTGATTTTGAATGTTCGCCCACTCACAAAGAAATGATCAGTCTGAAAATCGAATGCTAGGTGTATTGTAACACTGAGAGACGGAATAGCAGCAAAAAATTCAAAAGAAATGCATGTCTAACAAATTGTGCACTGATTTGCATGTTCATGAGGGAAATAAGTTTTTGATCCCCTATCATTCAGCAGGATTTTTGGCTACCAGGTGTCTTTCATATAGGTAACAAGCTGAGATTAGAAGCAGTCTCTGAAAGGGAGTGCTGCTAATCTCATTTTGTTACCTGTATAAAAGACACCTGTCCACAGGAGCAATCAAACAGATTATAAACTCTCCACCATGGCAAAGACCAAAGAGCTGTCCAAAGATGTCAGGGACAAGATTGTAGACCTACACAAGGCTGGACTGGGCTACCAAACTATCGCCAAGGAGCTTGGTGAGAAGGTGACAACAGTTGGTGCAATCATTCGCAAATGGAAGAAACACAAAACAACTGTCAGTCACCCTGTGGTGCACCATGCAAGATCTCATCTCAGGGAGTGCCAATGATCATGAGAACAGTGAGGAATCATCCCAGAACTACACGTGAGGATCTTGTCAATGATCTCCAGGCAGCTGGAACCATAGTCACGAAGAAAACAATTGGTAGCACACTACGCCAACAAGGATTGAAATCCTGCAGTGCCCGCAAGGTCCCTCTGCTCAAGAAAGCATATGTCCAGGCCCATCTGAAGTTTGCCACTGAACATCTGAATGATGCAGAGGAGGACTGGTTGAAAGTGTTGTGGTCAGATGAGACCAAAATTGAGCTCTTTGGCATCAACTCAACTCGCCGTGTTTGGAGGAGGAGGAATGCTGCCTATGACCCCAAGAACACCATCCCAACTGTCAAACATAATGGTGCAAACATTCTGCTTTGGGGGGGTTTTTCTGCTAAGGGGACAGGACAACTGCACCCGTCATGTTTCACATGGCTGTCATATTAACTGTCATATGCCTTTAAGAGTTTCTATATTTTGTTTCTGCTCCTCCCTTTCCTTTGGTTTAGTTAATGCTGTATAGTTAGCCCTCCCCCTTTCCCAGTAATGCATTGCAGCTCTAGCTTCATGTCATGGAGCAGGAAACATTATGATCTTTTGACCTATCGAATGTTCATTGTTGTAAGATTCTCTCAGTTTATGGAATAAACTTCACAAGATCTACAAGATGTCTTATCGATTGAGTCACTGGCTGTGGTATCCAGTTGAGGTTGAAGTTATCGCTATCTCATCACAACTATAAGTTACAGAGATCACACTATCAATGCTTAGATTGGAGAGACAGAACAGTACCGCATCAAAGGGAGGATGGACGGGGCAATGTACCATCAAATCTTGGGTGGGAACCTCCTTCCCTCAGCCAGGGCATTGAAAATGGGTCGTGGATGGGTGTTCCAGCATGAAAATGACCCAAAACACACGGCCAAGGCAACAAAGGAGTGGCTCAAGAAGAAGCACATTAAGGTCCTGGAGTGGCCTAGCCAGTCTCCAGACCTTAATTCGATTGAAAATCTGTGGAGGGAGCTGAAAGTTCGAGTTGCCAGACGTCAGCCACCAAACCTTAATGGCTTGGAGAGGATCTCCCAAGAGGAGTGAACCAAAATCCCTCCTGAGATGTGTGCAAACCTGGTGGCCAACTACAGGAAACGTCTGACCTTTATGATTTCCAACTGTCAGGGACCCTGTCTCCGTGCAGCCGTGCAACGGCAACAGATCCCTTCGGGTCGTGGCGGTGCGAGTGCCCATGCGCGGAAGCGTGCGGGCGCGCATGCACGGAAGTGCGCATGCGCAGTAGAGTACACGTCACCGCCAGGCGGGCTATTTAAACCTGCAATACAGTACAATCAATGTCATCTGGTCTACAACGTCCTTGCACTTATTACCTGATCCTGCTGCCTGTATTCTGATCTGACCTGACTAAGAAAGAACTCCGCCTGCACTGACCTTGGCTATCCCTGACCATCCGCTTGCCTGCTCCTTTGTACTTGATCTGCTCGTTTAATAGTGACCCGGCCGGCCTGTCTGACTCTGCTGCATCTACTTACCTGTACACACGGTCCTGCACCTGGCTTGCATCCTGACGGCTGCCATACTTACTTGCCGCTGCACCCACGGTCCTGCATCTGGCTTGCATTCTGATGGCTGCCATACTTACCTGCTGCTGCACCCACGGTCCTGCACCTGGCCTGCATCCTGGTCACCACCATACCTGCCTGCTGCCGCATCCACGCTCCGGTGTCCAGTCCCAGTCTGCATCCTGATTGCCGCCATACCTGCCTGCTGCTGCACCTACGTTCCTGCATCCGCACCTGGCCTGCATCCGGATCTCCTGGGTCTTCAGCTACCTGCCGCCAGCTCTAGATCCACCCGGCACCCGTGCCACTCCTGGCTCAGCGCCCTCTGTTTCCACTATCTGGCTCAGAGCTGGAGTCATAAGAGGACACCTTCTCTCCACGTCAGGCTCCCCAACCAGGTACGTGACACCAACAAGGGATTTGCCACCAAGTAATAAGTCCTGTTTTGTGAAGGGGATCAAATACTTATTTCCCTCATGAACATGCAAATCAGTGCATAATTTGTTAGACATGCATTTCTTTTGAAGTTTTTGTTGCTATCCTGTCTCTCTGTGTAACAATACACCTACCATTCGATTTTTAGACTGATCATTTCTTTGTGAGTGGGCGAACATTCAAAATCAGCAGGGGATCAAATACTAATTTCCTTCACTGTATTGGTCCAGCATCATGATGGTCAGTCCCATTATCATATATGAAAGTGGAAAATATTGGTCATAATAGTCTGAGCTTTGACACATTCAGGAAGTTTAAAACGTTGCAAGTTAGAGCACTTTGGGGTTTCAGGGGCCCTACTACACATATATAATATGTTTATGCACATACATTTGTGAATGAATTTATAGACCACAAAAAGCAGAGGGAGAACGTTACACAGTACAGGCTTTAGAGGGTACACATTCAGTAACCCCTGTGATGAATTCTGTGAACACTGAGCACCTGGACTAAGGTAAATCAAGCAGTTTCCTGGAAAGTGACATCAGCTTACTAATAGTTTCAGTTGTTTAAGGACCAGTCAATCCAAGAGTAGGGGTTTAGTTACAAATTACGATACATTTGTTAAATATTACTGGGACCGGTGCTAAAAACCTCCCAGCTGGGGTTGTCAGATTGGTCTTTTATGCTTTGGGGCCTCACTCCTTATGCTATAATAAGGGGAATGAGATAAATATTTTAAATGCAGTTCTCAGTTAGGATCACAAGCCCTTAGCTGACCCTAACTGGAGTAGTAAATAAAATGTGGTGAGGAACAAGGCAGTAAACACAAAGTGCTGCGCCATAACACTCAATCAATCATATTCCATATTCTATTAATGTGTGTAACAGCAACACCCTATTGCGGGCGGGGGCTTAATGGGGACAAAGGAAACCGCAGTTGCTAATGCCCGTGCCCACAGCCCCAGGCTGTGTTCATGTGAAATCAGCATTAAAGTGGCACTCCAGATCAGAAGCATGTTCTCCTTTGCAGAGTTAACTCCTTGTGTACAATACACGGCACAGTGAATCACACTCTCTTAATGGTACACAGACCTCTTCCACCTGGTGCAGCACTTCTGAGGGAATACCACAGAGCCTGTATCCCGCTCAACCAGCCCAACCATCAGGTCACCTCACTCCCATTGACCACTTGAGACTTCTTACTGGCGTTAAGCAACAAACTCTCTATATGTTCCTTGTGTACAATACACGGCACAGTGAATCACACTCTCTTAATGGTACACAGACCTCTTCCACCTGGTGCAGCACTTCTGAGGGAATACCACAGAGCCTGTATCCCGCTCAACCAGCCCAACCATCAGGTCACCTCACTCCCATTGACCACTTGAGACTTCTTACTGGCGTTAAGCAACAAACTCTCTATATGTTCCTTGTGTACAATACACGGCACAGTGAATCACACTCTCTTAATGGTACACAGACCTCTTCCACCTGGTGCAGCACTTCTGAGGGAATACCACAGAGCCTGTATCCCGCTCAACCAGCCCAACCATCAGGTCACCTCACTCCCATTGATCACTTGAGACTTCTTACTGGCGTTAAGCAACAAACTCTCTATATGTTCCTTGTGTACAATACACAGCACAGTGAATCACATTCTCTTAATGGTACACAGACTTCTTCCACCTGGTGCAGCACTTCTGAGGGGATACCACAGAGCCTGTATCCCTCTCAACCTGCCCAACCATCAGATCACCTCACTCCCATTGACCACTTGAGACTTCTCACTGGCGTTAAGCAACAAACTCTCTATATGTTCCTTGTGTACAATACACAGCACAGTGAATCACACTCTCTTAATGGTACACAGACCTCTTCCACCTGGTGCAGCACTTCTGAGGGAATACCACAGAGCCTGTATCCCGCTCAACCAGCCCAACCATCAGGTCACCTCACTCCCATTGACCACTTGAGACTTCTTACTGGCGTTAAGCAACAAACTCTCTATATGTTCCTTGTGTACAATACACGGCACAGTGAATCACACTCTCTTAATGGTACACAGACCTCTTCCACTGGTGCAGCACTTCTGAGGGAATCTGTATCCCCTCAACCAGCCCAACCATCAGGTCCCAACCATCACTTGAGACTTCTTACTGGCTCAAACTCTCATGTTCCTTGTGACACACTTGATCACTTCTCTTAACTCTTCCACCGTGCAGCACTTCTGAGGGGATACCACAGAGCCTGTATCCCTCTCAACCTGCATCAGATCACCTCACTCCCAACCACTTGAGACTTCTCTAAGCAACAAACTCTCTATATGTTCCTGAGCTTTTATACTCCCCAGGATCCTCTTCTCTTGCTCTTCCCTGTGACATACAAGCTAGATACATAAGGGGTCCATGCCACGATAGAGGGGTTAAGCTCAGAACCCCCCCTCGCTACCAGGGCTCTCTGTCATCCCTGCCAAATCACACTGTTCTCCCACCTGCAGGCAGCTATAGCACCCAACACTTCTCCGCATACTCATCACAATGGCCATATAGCCTTTTACTTTTTAGACTTCACCACTTGTCACCCTTGTTAGTGTCCTCTCCCAAACTCCTCTTCATCCCCAGTTACAAGCCTTGTTCTTTAGTATGTCTTGCATACACCCCTTTTCTAAAGAACTTCAGACTAGGCACTTTTAGATCTCTTTAGAACTTTTACTGTTAACTTCTTGCAGAAACAGAATTCATGTAACACAGTCTTTCACAGATCCCTCCATACACAGTTTTAGTACATCCTAGAAGCTGCACATACCTCTAAATAAAGTAGTCCCTTCAGCAAAGTCCATAATCTGACTTCCTGCACTCTAAATAGATATCCCAAAAAGGGAGATAATGTGTTCAGAATATCACTACATGTTGCAGCATTCCTTCCTGTATATTCCCATGCAGAAGGCCCCCAAGAAGAAGACCCAGCTAGGTTGCCTCTCCTTGTATTTATAGCCCACCACAAGGGGACAGAGCCATGAACACCCGAGAGTTGTGTGCTTTAACCCTTTCCTTACTTCTGGGTAGCCTGTTATACCAGAACTTGCAAACACATACACACAAACACAGTACACGTTAACAACAGGAGGTAGTATGCACCCCAAAAGTAGGTACTTGTACTTGCGTAACTTGAAGATTGTAGGCCCTGATGCAAAAGCTGACCTGGGGCCCCCCTCACTACCATCCCCCTTTTCCACCGTTGCACCAAGATACTCCACGTCGCTTAAGAGCTATTTCACATCTTACATTTTGAGAGGGTTAAACAAAAGATTTTGAAGAAACTGTCCACATTTTGACATACATCTACCTTCTTTTGAATACCCTGGAGCAGGGGTAGGCAACTTTTGAGAGGTGGGGATCTACCTGGACAACATGAAAGGAATCAAAGATCACTGGGGTTTGGCACCTTTTTTTTTTAATGAAATTAAATAGCAAGGCCTAACTAAATAGTAAGAAAACGTAGACAGATCAAAGAAATAAAATATAAACTTGGCCTTCCTTAAAAGTGGACAGTGTCAGTCAATAAAGTAGTGGACAGTGTCAGTAAAGCAGTGGATGTATGGCAGTGAACGGTGTCAGTAAAGCAGAGGATGGTGTCAGTAGCGCTGTGGACAGTGTCAGAAGGGCAATGGAGGGTGTCAGTAGTTTTTTATTTTTGTTATTTTATTTTTTTATAATTTTTAACACTTATTTATTTACAATTTTATTTTTTATTATTTTTACTATATTTGTTTTAAAAAATAGGCTCTGTTGGGGTCTTTGGTGAAATATCAGAGATCTAAAGAGACCTCTGATGTTTTACCTTTGAGACAGAAAAAGATGATTAAGGACACAGCTAGGCCTGGACTGGCCATAGGGCACACCAGGCATTTGCCAGGCCACACATCTGCAGACCTTCACTTCAGGAGGCTTTAGCTCCCCCGATTCCCGCTGTGGCCCCCCCTGCTGCCAGCACAGCTCTCACATTCAGCTCTGCTCAACATGGCTCAACTATTTCCACCTTCATCCAATCTGGAGCAGGAGTGAGCCCTGTGTGGCTCCCACACAGATTTGTCCTGGCTTCTCCCCTTGTCCTGTTTGTCTGTGCTCTGTCCTGTTGAGAAACCCCCCTCCAGCAAGCAGCAGCAGTGTACAACTTCATCGACCACATACACAGGGCAAGTACATGGCACCATTGCAGCAGTGTGTGATTAGATCTCCCGCCTGCAAATTGAAGCGGACCTGGGCTCCCTTTACAGGGGAATCCGTTACCTACATTTTTTCTCATATAGCACATCTTTTCTGTTTAAAGCCCCTCTCTCTGTGAATATATATATATATATATATATATATATATATATATATATATATATATATATATATATATATATATATATATATATATATGATATAAAAGGTCTGCACAACCTTTTAAAATGTCAGGTTTCTGTGATGTAAAAAAAATGAGACAAAGCTATAATTTCAGGATTTTTTCCACCTTAAATGTAACCTAGAAACTTTACAACTCAGCTGAACAACAATCTGAAATGTTTTAGTTGGAGGGAAGTAAAAATAAAAAAACTAAAATAATATGGTTGCATAAGTGTGCACACCCTTAAACTAATACTTTGTTGGAGCACCTTTAGATTTTATTACAACACTCAGTCTTTTTGGGTATGAGTGTATCAGCATGGAACATCTTGACTTGGCAGTATTTGCCCACTCTTTCTTGCAAAAACACTCCAAATCTGTCAGATTGTGAGGGCATCTCCTGTGCACAGCCCTCTTCAGATCGCCCCACAGATTTTCGATCGGATTCAGGTCTGGACTCTTGCTGGGCAATTCCAAAACTTTAATCTTCTTCTGGTGAAGCCATTCCTTTGTTGATTTGGATGAATGCTTTGAGTCGTTGTCATACTGAAAGATGAAGTTCCTCTTCATGTTCAGCTTTCTAGCAGAAGCCTGAAGGTTTTGTGCCAATATTGACTGGTATTTGGAATAATTTGTTCATAATTCCCTCTGCCTTGACTAAGGCCCCAGTTTCAGCTGAAGAAAAACAGCCCCAAAGCATGATGCTGCCACCACCATGCTTCACTGTGGGTATGGTGTTCTTTTGGTGATGAGCAGTGCTGTTTTTGCACCAAACATATCTTTTGGAATTATGGCCAAAAAGTTCAACCTTGGTTTCATCAGACCATAACACATTTTCCCACATGCATTTGGGAGACTGCAGTTGTGTTTTTGCAAAATTTAGCTGTCTTGGATGTTTTCTTCGTAAGAAAAGGCTTCCGTCTTGCCACTCTATCCCATAGCCCAGACATATGAAGAATATGGGAGATTGTTGTCACATGTACCACACAGCCAGTACTTGCCAGATATTCCTACAGCTCCTTTAATGTTGCTGTAGGCCTCTTGGCATACTCCCAGACCAGTTTTCGTCTTGTCTTTTCATCAATTTTGGGAGGCCCGTCCAGTTCTTTGTAATGTCACTGTTGCAGCATATTTTCTCCACTTGATGATGACTGTCTTCACTTTGTTCCATGGTATATCTTTTGTAAATTCTTTTGTACCCTTCTCCTGAGCGATACCTTTTAACAACGAGATCCCTCTGATGCTTTGGAAGCTCTCTGCGGACCATGGCTTTTGCTGTAGGATGCGACTAAGAAAATTTCAGGAAAGACCTAGTAGAACAGCTGAACTTTATTTGGGGTTAATCGGAGGCACTTTAAATGATGACAGGTGTGTACTGACTCCTATTTAACATGATTTTGAATGTGATTGTTTAATTCTGAATACAGCTACATCCCCAGTTGTAAGAGGGTGTGCACACTTATGCAACCACATTATTTTAGTTTTTTATGTTTACTCCCCCCCCCCCAAAGGATTTCAGTTTGTTTTTCAATTGAGTTGTACAGTTTTATAGGTCACATAAAAGGTTGAAAAAGTTCTGAAATGATTTATCTTTGTCTCATTTTTTTTACATCACAGAAACCTGACGTTTTAACAGGGATGTGTAGAATTTTTATATCCACTGTATATATATATATATATATACACAGTGCTCAGCATAAATGAGTACACCCCAACAGATTTGTCAGAAAACCTTTACTTTCCTTTCATAATCAACATTTTCTATGGGACACTATACTACAGAATACTCTAACAAATGCAGGCCATTGATCGCAAACAAGAGTTGTTAATTTGCACACCCAAGAAAAGTATTTTTCATAACAAATTCATTTAAGACCCTGTTGCATAAATGAATACACCCCAATGAAAGTCTTAGGAGCAAAACTAAATTTTAGACAACAAAATCCTAATTAACAGGAATTCAACTACAGGTGAGTCTAATTATTCATTAAACAGGTGTCCAGCAGGCAGTTGATTATAAAAGGGTGTTACTTAACAAAGAAAACCCCTTCCCATTTCATGCTGTCAGCAATGGCACCACATGGAAGAGAAATGTCACAAGACCTGAGAAAGGAAATAATTTCTTTACACAAAAAAGGTGAAGGCTACAAGAAGATCAGCAAAGCTGTACTGATCAGTCAGAATACAGTAGCAAAAGTGATACAAGTATGTAACAGAGATCGAACTGCAACCATTTCACAGAGACGTCCAGGCTGTCCATGGAAGTTACACCTCAACAAGAGCGTCTTCTGATGAGAAGGGTTGAAGAAAATAGACATGCAAGTTCACTGCAGTTAACTAAGAAGTAGAAAGCCAAACTGAGGTGATTGTTTCCCATGACACAATACGGCGTACACTGCAGAGGAATGGCATGCATGGGTGTTGTCCACGAAGGAAGCCTCTCCTAAAGCCCATGTACAAAAAAAGCCCGACTAGAATTTGCCAGGGCCCATGCGGAAAAGACTACTGGGACTCTGTACTCTGCAGTGATGATACCAAGATAAATGTTTTTGGAACTGATGGCTTCAAAACTGTATAGCGTCGCAAAGGTGAGAAGTACAAAGAAAAATGCACAGTGCCTACAGTGAAACATACTGGTGGCAGTGTCCTTCTGTGGGGCTTCATGAGTGCTAATGGTGTCGGGGAGCTGCATTTCATTGATGGTATCATGAATTCACATATGTACTCTTTTACATGCGTAAAGAGATGCTAAGCGAAAGAGATGCTACCATCACTCCATGCCCTTGGTTGTCATGCACTATTCTAACATGACAATGATCCAAAACACACATCCAAGGCCACTGTTGCATTTCTGAAGAAAAACAGGGTGAAAGTGATTCAGTCGCCAAGTATGGCTCCTGATCTGAACCCAGTCAAACAACTCTAGGGAATTCTGAAGAGACAAATTGAGCATCACTCTCCATCCAGCATCCAGGCTCTAAAAGAGGTCATTCTTGAAGAATGGAAAAAGACAGATGTTGCAATATGTCGCCAACTTGTTCATTCCATGCCTAGAAGACTACAAAATACAAGATGTAGTAGTTTTTGTTGTGGGGTGTATTAATTTTTGCATCAACTAATCTGAGTAAAACTGAGGATTTTGTAATCTAAGTTATATCATTAACCTTACTTTCATGTAATGAACTAAAAAAATGTTCTCTAAAACTCCATTTTGTCAAAATTTTTAAAATTGTTCTTGTGTTCATTGAGATATTAATTACAATCTTACTTTTCAAAAGAGGTGTACTCATCTCTGCTGAGCACTGTATGTGTGTGTATGTATATGTGTGTGTGTATATATATATATATATATATATATATATATATATTTATATATAAATAATATTGGCAAAAGTATTGGGACACCCCTCCAAATCATTGGATTCAGGTGTTCCAATCACCTCCATGGCCACAGGTGTATAAAAACATGCAGCTAGGCATACGGACTGCTTCTACAAATATTTGTGAAAGAATGGGTCACTCTCAGGAGCTCAGTGAATTCACGCGTGGTACTGAGATAGGTTGCCACCCATGCTGAAGCACACAGTGCGCAGAATTTGCCAACTGTCTGCAGAGTCAATAGCTAAAGATCTCCAAACTTCATGTGGCCTTCAGATTAGCACAACAGTCGGTAGAGAGCTTCATGGAATGGGTTTCCATGGCCAAGCAGCTGCATCCAAGCCTTACATCACCAAGTGCAATGCAAAGCGTTGAATGCAGTGGCATAAAGCATGCCACCACTGGACTCTAGAACAGTAGAGACGTGTTCTCTGGAGTGATCAATCATGCTTCTCTGTCTGGCAATCTGATGGATGTGTCTGGGTTCGGCGGTTGCCAGGAGAACAGTACTTGCCTGACTAGATTGTGCCAAGTACAAAGTTTGGTGGAGGGGGTATTATGGTGTGGGGTTGTTTTTCATAGATTGGGTTTGGCCCCTTAGTTCCATTGAAGGGAACTCTTAAGGCGTCAGCATACCAAGACATTTTGGGCAATTTCATGCTCCCAACTTTGTGGGAACAGTTTGGGGATGGCCCCTTCCTGTTCCAACGTGACTGCGCATCAGTACACAAAGCAAGGTCCATAAAGACATGGATGAGCGAGTTTGTTGTGGAGGAACAATATTCAACCCTAGGGACTAAGACTGGGATGACATTAAAGTTCATGTGCATGTAAAGGCAGGTGTCCCAATACTTTTGGCAATATAGTGTGTACAACCCCGCAATCATGTCTCCATCCTGTCTTTTCTGCTGCCACTAATGCATCTGCTTTCAACACATCCACCTGCTGCCTGCAAACTACAAGTCCCAGCATGTCCATGACTCGCCCCTCCCCCCATACTGGATTCTGTCACTCCCTTACACATGGGATGTCCCCAGTACAAGGGGAGTCCAGAGAAGTTTCGGTCCCCCTCAATGTGTAGAATTCCCCCAGCCCTCTCATTGTCTTGGACTGTAGAACTATCTCAGTTCCTCACCTGAACCCACTTGATAAATTTTCTGCTCCATTATAGGATCTATAGCACCCAGACCTGCTCCAGGTAGAAAGCATGTACCCCCCGGCTGGGCCACTGCCATGACTGAGGAGAGATCAGCGGGTTATAAGAGAAGAGGGATGTGAGGATAAACATGTGGAAACTGACTTGAAGGGAGAGGTGAGGGGAGGAGACAATGGAGGAGACGGCAGGACCAGCTCACAGAGCAGCAGAGACAGGGAGGACACTGGCAGGGAGGCAGCAGGAATAAGTTGGGGATAAGATGGTTCATGTAGTAGGAAGGAGATCACCGCTCCAGTACTCTCTTATTCCCCCTCAGCACATGACCCACCTCCTCCACACAGCAGCCCTGTCCCACCAAGCACTTGTGTGCACCGGTACACAAACATGCAGGAGCCACAGAGCACAGAGAGTGATCTGTGTAGTGGGGGGAGAAATGTATGCAGCAGCTGAAAGCAGTGGGAGGAAAAGGGGGAGACACTGGCTTTCAGCTGCTGCATGCAGGGAATTGGTTCCTCTAACTGCCCCCTGCCACAAAACCTAATGTGACAAGGCTACACAGACCCCCCCTGGAAGAGGGGCCAATTGCAACCTCTGCAACCCCTGATGGTACGCCACTGCACCTGCCTACACCCTGTTGAGTCTTATACAAGGACCAGAATCAATGCACCAGCTGATGGTGGAAAAGATCAGGATCCCTAGTGGCCTCCAGAGCTCTTTGTTGAGTGATAGCACCAGACCATGGCATTAAAGATCGCCCCACCAAGGGAAAAGCAAGGAAAGGAAAGCTACAGTGTTAAATACTGTACACTAGGAGGTCAACCAGAAAATGGTCAGATTCAGGCAGGGGTCAAGGGAGGTAACAATCAAGAGAGTAAACAGGTCTAGGTAGGGGTTGATGCAAGAGGAAATCAATAGAATAGTCTAGTCCAGGCAGGGGTCAAGGCAGGTGGGAAATAAAGAGAATAGTCTGGTCCAGACCAGGGGCGGACTGACAACTCATGGGGCCCCCGGGCAATAGGAGATCATGGGGCCCCTTTGTCCTTGCCCAAACTCAAAAAAGCCTATGAAAAAGGTACCAGGGGCATCTTTTGGGGCCCCCTACTGACCCCGGGCCCTCGGGTGGTGCCTGAGTTTCCAAATGGTCAGTCCCCCCTGGTCCAGACAGGAGTCAGGGCAGGCAGCCAACAAGAGAGTAGTCAGGGCAGTCTGGATCTGCAATGCTCAGGCAATCCTGTAATGACCTTCTTTCACTTTCACTTTTGGTGATGGCAATAAACAGTACAAATAAAGAGAGTGAATCTCCCTGTTGGGTGCACAGACAGCAAAAGAAAATAACAGGTATTCTATTCCCTTCCTAGTCTATCCAGAACTAAACAAAATGTTTTACCTTTAGTTATTCTTTAAAGGTAAATCATCATGAAAAAGCCTCATACTGTTTACCATTACCATTTACAGAAGCTCCAAAGTAGATAAGTTACATCAGAATCAGTACACTACAGTGAGGAGGAATATTGCATGAACTCCTAGTAGATGAGACTGTTTATATGGATTAATCTTATGGTTTTATTCACTGTGATGGAAGTGTTTGTATGCAAGTAATCATTCATTGCTATATTCAATAAGGGTTACAGCTACATAGTTCCTAGGAGTGACCACTAACTATAAGGCTAGTGATATAATACCCATCCTATAGTTCTATCTATCAGCACTGTTTGCCTGTGGCTCCCTATATAGCCCAAGAGGTACTACATATTAGCCTTGTTGAGCCAGCAGTTTAACCTTTGAAGAGACTCCACCTGTGTTAATGTAATGGACCGCCTGGCGGTACCACTAGCACTCCACTGGTCAGACGTCCCCAGTGCACGGAATCTAAGCCCCAGGGTACGTGTTCACCAGGGCCCTGATGGTGGGGATGGACTTGAAGTACCCTGAGACCAGGTCGTGGCTACTGAGTACACCTGTCAGTGGTAGCAGTATTCGCCAGGGGCTCCCACAGGGAAGAGCCTGATATGAGGAGTCGGGTGATCCCGTTGGGATGGATGGCTGAGCAAGTGCAAGGTCAAACAGGCCGGGTCGGTAACTGTGGGGACGGAGCGGTATAAAGCAGCGGGCAGAGAGTAGTCGGGTAACACGCCAGGTCAGCAACGGAAGGTCAGATCTAAACAGGGGCATCCAGGAGAGAGGTCAGGCAAAGCAAGGGTCTGGGCAGGAGAAGGCAACAAGGTCAGGTACAATCCGGGTCAGTAACTCACTTAACACAGGTTCGCAGATACAGGATACAAGGAAAGACCAGAAGGCACTGAATGACAGCTCAGGGCTGTTTAGATATCGGGCCCTGTGCTGTCATTGGTGCCAAGCGCGCGCGCGGCCTCTCTACTGCGCATGCGCGGGCTCGAATGCCGCGGCCCGGCCAGGACCTAGTGCCCGCGTCCCTGCACAGGGCGGCGCACTGCGCCTGCGCCGGGACCAGTGCCGCGGCGATCCCCGACATTGCCCCCCCCCCTACGGGCAACCTCCAGATGCCCACCCGATCTCTCCACCACGGGTGATCACGAAGAAACCCCCGGAGAAGTCTAGGTGCATTAACATTTTGCGCTGGTTCCCAGGAATTGTCTTCCGGGCCATAGCCCTTCCACTTAATTAGGAATTGGGTCTGGCCCCCCCCCTCCTTCGGCACTTCAGGATCGCTTCCACCTCAAATTCTTCTTGTTCTTCACAAGTTATGGCCTCTGGAGGTCTGGACTCTCGATCTGGAAATGAATCTGGAACCACTGGCTTTAGCAAGGATACGTGGAATACCGGATGGATCTTGAATGTTTCAGGAAGAATAAGCTCATATGCCACCTCGTTGATCATTCGCTTCACACAAAAAGGCCCTACAAACTTTGGTCCTAATTTCTTCGATGGACATAGCATTTTCAAGTTCGTTGTTGCCAACTACACTTTATCCCCGGGCTGCAGCACCAGGTCCCCTCTTCGTCTTTTGTTAAACGCCTTCTTGTAGTCCTCCTGGGCCCGAGCGATAGCTTCCTGTAGTACTTTATTGTTGGAGGAGAAGAAAGCTAGTGCGTCTTGTGTTGCCGGAACTGGGCATTCAGGAACCAAGTCAGGGAGAAAGACAGGGTGAAATCCGTAGTTTGAAAAAAAACGGCGATTGCCCTGTTGCAGAATGGTTTGCGTTGTTGTATGCAAACTCTGCCAAGGGTAAGAGTGGTAGCCAATTATCCTGTAGGAAGGATGTGTAGCAACGCAGGTATTGTTCCAGGGTCTGGTTGG